ACGACAACAAAACGGATTTTGACGTCAAGGCGGCAAAGCGAGCATACCTAAAATTTCGTTTAGCGCTTTGGAGAACTCTTGTCCAGGCTAAAGGACCCGCTAAAACAATGACAATGCGAAAAATACATGTCTAAGGGTTTATTTTTTCATTGGTATATTTTTTTTTACAATGATACAACCAGCGTAAAATCTCTTCGGACGACCATCAATTATTACGGACTAAAAAAACGTTGACCCGCGGTACTGCATGATGATATGTCAACCTGTAGAGGACTTTTCATGAAATTTTACATTGGGGTAGCAAGAACACATATTTTATATTTATTTTATTTATATATTTTGACACGTTTCAGAAAAGAGAGAGTTTGACGTCAAAATTACTTTTCTCCCCATATATTTCACAAATATCTTCACAGTGATGCAATCTCAATAGAAAATCATGTCATTTAATAAGCATAAGTCAATCTTTTATGTCAAAGCTTATTAAGCGTGGTGTAGAAGAATTCATTTTCAGCTATCATACATTTGAGCAATTATTTCATTTTTTTTTTAAATTCAATTGTTTATAAAACATGTAATAAAAATAATCTCCCATGATATGTGGTTGGATATAATTTTTATCCAACTCGTTTTATTTTCGCCAAGGCTCGGGGATAAAAACACACAACTCGTTGGATAAAATCAGATCCGACCACCGACCACAAATCATGGGAGATCCTATATTTACTGATCAAAGACATTAATGACTAGCTAACCTCTGAATCATATGATAAAAGGATGGCCCACACAGTTTCTCCTATTTAATATTTCACTATCAGCTACATACGGTACTTATGCCACTCAGCTGATTCAATACCGGTTAGGGACGAGAAGGGGGTAGCGTATTTTCTATCCTTCCCTTCTCCCTTGCATAGTTCTTGATCCCATTTTCTTAATTTCCATCCCTTAACTCCTTCATTTTATTCCACCCTTTTAATTGAACTTTCCCTATTTTCAACAAATAACCCTTTTTCTCTCCTTCTCCTTCAAATTGTCAGTTTTGAAGCGTTTAGTAAAGTTCAAGTTTTAGAAATAAATGACTGTATTATACGCATGGAGACACCTTATTTTCAAAGCAGTGGAATTTATTACTTGTGTATATTAAAGTAATAATCGAGTATGAAATATATTTTTATAATTTGTCGTGAATATAAGTCCAGAGAGTTCATAAACCTTGCTTTAATTGGTCGTTTGATAACTTTTGTGAAATATGGAGATCAAAAACAATATTCAAGCTCAAAGTCCATTAAAACAATACAAATCGGGAGCAGAGCAAACGCGGACCTCCAAAAACATCAGAGGTGGGATCAGGTGCCATGGATGGGGTGAGTATCCCCTGCGATCTGTCACACCCGCCGTGTGCTCCTTGTCATGAAAAAAAACGGAAAAACCCATAAATAATTCAGTGTATAAATAATGGCCTAACAATTAGTATGAAAAATGTCAGTCAGCCTTTGATTTAATGATAGGATGCATTTGTTGACAAGGTCATTGTATCGACCATAAAACGAGACTGCTTACCCGTTTCAGAAATTGTTCATAAGTAGAGCATGCTTTTGCGTATCGAACCAACTGGGAGACAAAAACCCCATATGCAGGTGATAAGAGTATATTGCTACATATGTAACGGAAGTTGACGATTGAAAACGTGAAGTCATCACGTTTATCATAAAAGCTTTGTTGTCAGGTTACCAATAGGGTGAATTCACCATGCATCGGACACCCTTGCACTTCAACAAGTTCTAGCGATATCGCTACCGACCGTATATTATCAAAATGGAACTTAACATGTAGTATGTGGTTAAAATATAAATTTTTGACACAATTGTGCCCTATTTATTGAGAAAATATCATTAAAAACCGATTTTTTCGAAATAAGTCAGAATTCACCATGGATCGGACAATATTCACCATGCATCGGACGTACGATATTTAAACCAGAAAAATATCCTACCTTGATCTCGGTGCTTTAAAATTAGTGATATCGAAACATTTTTATCTTTTATTAAAAAATTAACCTTCTAATTAAATTTGAATGACTATTTCGATCCACAAATATGAAGAGATTTTAGTTGCATCACATCGCCTGAGAAAGGCTTTACAATGCTAGAAATATGGCAACTCGCGCCTTTGTCTCGTGGGTTATAATCATCTAGTTTAAAGAAATAAATTGAGTCCACTTCTAGTCGTCATATATCGATAATTTGTATTTTCACTGAAAATTTAGAGTTGTTTTTCTATTTCCGTAAAAAACAGCTGTCATTTGGGTTTTACATGAAAATGGAAGTGATTACCCATGCACTGGAAAATGTCCGATGCATGGTTAATTTGTGTCCGATGTACGGTGAAATAAACATACTAGTTAAAAACAACTCTAAAATATATTATACAAACATTGAAGTAAAATTTTTGAAAAATTTTTGTAATATTATCAATCATAGGCAAATTTTACCAAGGTCCGACCCGTTCCGCTGACGTCTATTTAAAAGAACGACAACTCTAAAAATTGCAAAATCATAAAATTCTGGTTACTCCTCTTTGATGACGCAAAATATGACGTCATTTCAAGGCCATTCTTGTGGTATTTTTATCAAAACATGAAAATAAAAATCGACATCATTAAAAAGTTTAATTCTTCATCTTTAAGACAGAAACAAGTAAAAACACGGGAGACTCAGATTCAATGAAAGTTTATTGCTTGAAGTTGTCCGAAGCAAGGTATGAGTCCAATGCATGGTTAACTCACCCTAATGCCTTTTTCTGGTAAAATATTTAAATATGAAAAAGATATGTAAGACTTTCTGGTACCTTTTATTTCAAGCTCACTGGGATGTATCGAGTCCACATATGAATGGAAGTAATAATTGTAAATTGATAATACGTCGTCGATATATCTAAATGTCGAGTTGAAGGCCACAGCAAGTGTTATATTCTTCTCATGTATAAGATTTTGTATAAATCCTGCTACATAAGAGTTCAAAATAGGTCTGCTAATAACGGGGCGTAATTGGTACCCATGGAAAATCCAACAGATTGTTGAAAGATGTGATATTCAGAAACTTCATAGATATTGTCAATCAAAAATTCAAGCATTTTTTTAATATCAACTTCAGAGTAGTTGTGATAACAATCAATATGTTTTTAACAAAATAATTTCGCAAATGACCAGTGACAAGGTACGTATATTAACGAGTTCCATTTTTAATGAAAAGCAGCTGTCTGTAAAGCCTGGATTTTAATTTATAGTGGGGAGTGGTTGTATAAAGTGTTTAATCGTCGTACGTTTTGATGTTATTGATTTTGGTGAAATTGTGATTTCAAATTTTCTAAAAGTTCCTTGGAGTTTTTAAGTATCCACATCTGATTTACATCATTTCTATCTATCTATCTATCTATCTATCTATCTATCTAAGTCTCTTGCTTTGGCCTTCAATTCAACATTTAGATATATCGAAGACATTTAGTCAATAAAGAATATTCATTTTCATTTTATGCTGATTCGACATATTCCTTTGAACTCGAAATTGAAGATATTACAGAGGCAGAAATATCTGTTTCATGTTTAGATATTTCATAAGAAAAAGACTATGGTAATTTAACAACAAGATTTTATGTTAAATGTTATGTCTTCATTTTTTTTCTATCGCCATCTTCCCTTATTAATAAAATTGTTTCGATACGCAAGAGTATGCCCTAAGTATGAACAATCTCTAAAACAAGGCAAGCTATTGACAAATAAGTTGATGAAACAAGAATATTGATAGTCTTATTTATAGTCAACAGTTAGCAAATTCTATGGTTCATACAGTGACCTTGTTAGCAAATACAATTTCTCGTTAAGTCGAATATTGCCTGACGTTTTTCGTACAATTGTTTTGCCATTATTTTTGCACTGAATTGTCTACAGATTTTTCCGTTTGCCCGATCATGACAAGGAGCACACAGCGGGTGTGACCAGTTTATAGGGGATGCTTACTCCTCCGTGGCACCGATTCCCACATCTGATTTTTTTAATGGTCCGTGTTTGCTCTTCTCCAAATCCGTTTGGTTTAAATGGACCTTTGAGCTTGATTACTATTCATTATCTTCATGTTTCATTAGATATATCGACGACTTTTTATCACTTAACAATAGTTACTTCATTCATATGGTGACTCGACGAACTCAAAATAAAAAAAAAAACTGTATAGTCTGCCACATCTGTTTCATATTTAAATAGGTTTTTTTTCCTGACTGTAGACGATACATGTATCGACCATCTAACAACTAAAACTATATGACTATTCATGCTAATAATTAGCACATTGTTTTATACTAGATTTGAGTATATATTATTCCGGGTACGTGATCAATACATAGTGCTCGCAGTGCTCACGGTGGATGCATCATGTCCATTGGGGATGCTTACTCCTTCTAGGCAACTTATCAACTTATCTTACCTCTGCAAACGGTCGTTGTTTTAAATCCTGTTCACAGATTTTTATTGTTTGTAGGTTGCTTTGAGATCCATTACTATTTGTTATCTTCTCATTCCCAAGATCTGTTTGTTAAGTGACTTTTAAAAACATGTGACATTTTTATCGTAGAAAATTATCATAAAATAAACGTGGTCCTTTCAAAGTGACGTCCAATAACAAGTCCTTTCGAGACTCACAATTCGACGCTGAAGCTGAAGAGCCATCGACAGTTTTAGAAAAAATATGCACAAGAGTCGTGTGACAAAGTTATAATTTACCTGTATTATTCTTCAGAATCCAAGTATTCGGGATTTAAGTACCTGAAATTTGCAGATTTACAACCTGTAATATGAACAAATTTATATATATAGAGTTGAAAATGAATATTATTGACAATTTGCTTCTAAGGTAAGTATACATACAAATATTATGTCGAACATTTTCTCTATTTTACGCTCGTTTATTCGTGTTCTCTGTAAACTTTATAAATATATTATATCAAAGCTTCAAGATCACTTGAAAGCCAGTATGAAAGTTGCAGCCATCCTGATTGTCTGTTTGTTTCATGGATCCGTCATCTTATCCAAATCTTTAAAGGTCAGATCTTCATTAAAAGCACTAAAGTGTGGTCTATGAAAATATTCACATTCACATTCTCTTACAAACCTAGTTTGTCGAAAACTTGACTACCAATTCACTTTGCCAACATAATTTATGCAAAATAATTTTCCCTATAAACAAACATTCTTTTAACAAATGAAAAACAAATACATTTTTCAATACGGAATCTTCATATATTTGTATATCTTTTAACGTTCATGAAATATCTAACAACACATGTTAAAATATGTAACAAAAATAAACTCTATTTTACAAAAATTCTTTAGTTTATTTTATACTAGCTAATCAGTGGCGGATCCAGAAGTCCACGTGGGGGGGTTTTGAGGCCCGTAGGGCCGAAGGGGGGCATGGGAGGGGGTGTCTCCCTCCCATAGGTGGGGGTTCGGGGGGGGGCTCCCCCGAGAAATTTTCTTTAAAAATGGCTCCGAATGGTGCATTTTCCAGCATTTAAGATTGAATTAGTTAGTTTTTGGTCACTTTTTTCCTAGTTGTTTTTCAAGACCGACCTACCCAAATTTTCAAGAAATTGAACAAAAAATATTAAAATTTTGGGATTATTTTTAACTTCCATGTTACATGTAACTTGAAAAATGAGACTTTTCTAAAGAAATAATTAAATGTAAAATCTGATGAAATTAGAAATATCGCCATTTGCTATATAATATCCAATTCTTCATTTTAAAATGCACGTCCAACACACTGCCGCATGTGAAGCTTTGTGTTCCAAAATACAACTGCATGATGTGCAATTTGCAATATATACACATAATGATATTTCATATTGAAGAATAAATATAGATTATTTTGGAAAATAATTGGAATTATAATTAACCCCCCCCCTCCCCCCAATGAAGAAGCAATAATTGCAATTATTTTAGTTGGGTTTTATTCAACATCATTCAACTGTAATTTAAAAAAAATGCAGATCTTTTGCTTTTTAAAATTGCATTGTAACTTCCATCTACAAAAGGAATACTTTCAATGTGCTGTTTGGTACAGGTCACAACGTATTTCAACTAGTATACGTCCCTGATGTTTTAATTAATTTTTTTTTATTAAATAATAATCACAGTTTATTCACGTAGTTCAATGAAGTAACATTCAATTATCGAAGAAAGAAGAAAATTCTCGAAACAATATTACTTTAGCCAAAACAAAACCGTAATAACTATGTGCAGTTTTGGTTGTTAGTGTATGACGTTGCGTCATCACTAGCTGCACGGACTATCATGATCTCTGCATGTACAGTACAGTTGATTACCTGTATATTGTGTGCGCTCAAGCGGAAAGGGATTTCGCATGGTGACTGTATATTTCACCTCTTTGTGTAAAACAATGGGCTTGGATAGAGTCGCATTTATGCAATATATTGTTAAAATGACACTTGTAAAGAAAAAATTTTGATCGGGCGGGGGGGGGGGGTCCCGAACCCCCCCCCCCCCAAATCCCCCTGAATCCGCCACTGCTAATTAATGTGAAAAGAAAAATTAGAAAATTAAAATTTACACAGCATACAAGGTAATCCATCGCGCCATATGCCCAGAAATTGGTTGTTAGCCGTAATTTAAATCTAAGAAATTACTATTTGATAAAAGAGTAAAAGGTGAAAATAACCATCAGCGATCAATCTCATAAATCCAGTCGACAAAACGAATCGTGAACAGGGCAAATACAATACCTGATGTGGGATCAGATGCTTAGGAAGAATAAATATCCCTTGTTGACCGGTTACATCCGCCTCGTACCATACGTATTGATTAGGATTCGGAGTACTCCGCAGTTGAATTTAATATAAAAGCAATTACTTAGCAAAGAATAAGAAACATGTCAGGCAAAATACAACCCAGCGATAGGTTGTATAGATTGTTTAGCCGATCACTAAAAAGAAAAAAAGTTCTGAATCAATATTTTCTGTGTTTGTCATGTGCTGATTGGCTAAGATCTCAATTTGTGTGAATTGTTCAGTACTAATCTATGTACATAATATGTCTTCAATCTAGATGGGAAGGTTAAAGAACTTATCGCATGATCTTTCAAAAATCGTAATTCTATGAAAAATATTATCTACTGAGTACAATAAACGTTGATGAAAGCATATTTTAAGAGATATTAAGAGTTGAAATTCAAATACGGCAATATGCATATTTCAGTCGGATTTTTGCAAAATACTGCTCTGACGTCATAGGCGACAATTCAGTGATAGAAAGATGAGAATATGCACAATATTAACGGAGTTATCAACGACAATTGCAGCTTAATTACGAAAAATGCTTAAAAAAAATTAATTCCTAACGTGCGTTTCAATTACTATAGAAACATTAACTAGTACTAAGGTAAAAGTCTTCTGAGATATTTTCGTTTTTATTCCAAACATTTAGAATCTGTAGCTCTGATAACGGCAATGTTTAGTGATCTGGAAATTATTTTTCAAGACCACCATCCTTTACAAAACACATGAAGGTATACTTGCATAAATTAATATTATGTTAAAAACGAAGAATAACAAAGTTATGTAATGTTAAATTTGTGAATAAAATAACTTAATAAATGTGATAAGATGACAAATCAAATTGTTCTGTTATGGCGAGTTTCTTCGTCTTCACCGCGTCTCCCTCGCATTTTTTACAATGGTAATAGATTTTTTTCAGATTTTGCCTTGCTGACAATTCTAACATATAAGGTTGGATATTCAATTTCATATCGATGAAATCAGTGATTTGATCGTCCACAACGCAGAAAATTCAGGTTGTATTGCGTATATTTTAGTAAGATTGCGTATATTTTAGTAAGATTAACATGAAGAGCTGATCAGCCATTGTCGCCTTTGACGTTACATGGTCACGTGATCGCTATCTAATTAACTTATTTTTTTAATTCAGGGGTTATCATTTGAGTCAATAATTGGTTAAATACCACGGTTTATCCGCAGTAAAAACGAAATATCTATAAACTGTGGTCATAAGGAACGTTATACGCTTTTAATTTCAATTAATCTAGAAACATGCGACAAGTCCTTTAAGTGAATACAATCTTATTCAGATGTAAGCTTTCAATCTCACAACACAGTATTAAATATTCGGTAAGATTGGCTTTTTTTTATTTAAAAAAGTTTTTTACATAAAATCTTTTAGTTGAAAACGGATATTTTGGCTAGGAAACTTGACAAAGAGTATGCATATGTATGTTTATTTCCTTAAACAGTGCCAGATACAATTAAACCTGGATTGAAAATGAAACACCATTAAAAATTCATACTGTGCCAGATACAATTAAAGCTGGAATGAAAATCAACACCATGATTATGAATTTCTACTCGTTTAGTTCTTGTAGCCTTGCAGTTTACTTTGATTCCATATCTCTTAGAAGTTATCTACTTTTGATAACTTATTTTCTTTGAGTTCTTGAAAAAAGAAATTATTTAGGATTGTTCGGAATGAAAGTCAGAAAGCTTCATTTAAAGTTTTATTTTATAATAATGAAAGAGGTGAAGTTAACGAACAGTGATCGATCAAAAAAAGATCTTCAAATCTTTGAACAGGGCATTAAAAGAGAACCCTGGAAATTTGAGAGGAGGGATCAGGCACCCCTTGTTGACTGGTCACACCTGCAATGAGCCCTATGTATCGTTCAGGTAGATGGAACGTTCCGAAGTCAAATGTTGTATAAAAACAAAGGCTTAACAATTGATTTGAAACTACGACCCAGTGATAGGTAATACACGTATTTGCCAACAAGACCAATGTAACGACTTAAGAATTTACAAAATTCTGACTTTTAACGAGGTCGTTGAAATCCCTGTAACATCAACCTACAGCCTGCCTTGGTTCAAAAATTGATCGTGCTCAGAGAATGCTCTTTAGAAGAGAATATGCAGATGATTACGGAATATTACTACATATATAATATTAATAAGGAAAGTTGACAAGGGAAAAAGCTGAAGTCATCTTATTTATCATACAATTTAGTTGTTAATTGTCCCCTCATCGTATATAGTAAGTTAATTAAACATCCAAATATAATACAGATGTGGCAGAGTGTGTGGTGTAATTTATTTATATGTCGACATATGAATGGGAGTAGTTATTGTTAATTGATAAAATCGTCGATGTTTCTGAATGCTGAGTTGGCCACAACAAGTGTTTTCATCTTCTCATGATGAAGTCTTTCAATAAATTTCTTGTTTCGGTATTCCAACAGTTTGTTGGAAATCCTGATCTCCGAAACTTACATATATAGATGTTGTCAATGAGGAACTTCAGCGTTCTTTTAATATCAACTTCAGAGTACTTGTGTGTAGAATCACTCACTAGATAAGATTTTTTTAGTTCCACTTGTATTGAAGAAACAGTTGTCTTTGATTTCAGAAAGCTTAGTTTTTAATTTGAGTAATGGTTGTATATAGTGTAGAAAAGTCGTACGATTTGATGTTATTGACATATGAAAAATTTGGTAATTTTAAATTTTCTAAAAGTTCTTTGGAGTTTTTAGAATCCACATCTAATTTACAATTTTAGAATATGCTGTAGCACAGTATGTTTGAAGATTTTCCTTTAAAGCAGTTGATATCTTTTTAAGGAGTAAAGATAAGGGCTTAGTAGCGCATTTGCTGCACCCAGCATTGTATTTTTATATTTTGTTTGTAAGGATTTTTATGAAGTTTAGGAATCAAGTATAGTTAGAGTAGATTAAACTGACCTTGTTTGACTGGAATGTTAAAAGTATTGAACACTGAAATGTGATTTTGAAGAATTTCATACTTTGAAATTGAACTGTGAGTATAAATGGAATAAATACCACAATACCTGCAGTTAGTAAAACAAATTTTTAAAATCTTAAGATAATCAGCCGTTTATCTTCATTTTCTTAATTTCAAAGTTAGTTAACCCGATAAATTGACTAATTAATCTTCATATTCTTTATTATCTTTATCATCAAAAAGACAACAGAAAGCCATATCCTCATTCGTTTCACTTTTTTTCTTTCTTTCCAAAAAAACACAATAGACAACAAGTTGCCCGTACTAAAAAGAAAAATAAATGGTTAATTTTCCTAGTTTGATTAAATTTTAATACCTATATGTTTTTCATGTATAAAGCTGTTTATTGCTTCAATACAGTTCTTTGAAATATGAAAATTGAATTCCGTTGACAATCAATTGACTATCAGTTGTCACACATAGTAACTGAACTTCTAGATGTGACAATTGATAGTCAACTAAAATTCTACTAACTTTTCAAATATTTGAGAGTAATTGTTAAAGACATACAGCAGATGCCGTAGATGTAGAATAAGCACAATACTTGCTAACAACAGCGTGAAATATATACTTTAGGAGAAAGATGAACGTCTATCCTGTAACATTCGTCGTTATGATTTGGACTCGGATGGGAAAATTCAGCGTGAAGAGTTTTTGAAGGCAACTCTTGGATACAAGAAGCATGACCCTGAAAAATTGTTCGAACGCCTAGATATGGACAGTATGTATCCCGTGGTATCAATTTAGACACACACACACACAACAACAACAACAACAACAATTTGCTTTTTAGTAATTATATTATACAATGTGATTAGACTGTATATGTCTTTATCAAAGAACATGTAAAAAAAAAAAAAAAGGAGAATAATTTGAAATACATACATGTATACTAAAACCTACTATATTTGTTACATAATTTATCAATATTTTTTATATTTCTTTTTTTTATATTTTGTATACTGCAATGGAAAACATCCAGTATTTGATATAATTAAAGGAATCTTTACCTGCGAAAGTAGATTAAAGATTATCTCGGTAATTTCGAAGAGAAGAGATTGGAGATAGTTTGACTACTAGTATTTTTTAGATCAATTTTCAGAATATCAAATTTTGAAATATATTCCATTCAGAAAGCACAAATTTCACAGGATAATTCATGAGTGTTATCAATTTATCATACAAAATTGTTATCTTATTATATTTTCTCAATATTATTTGATAATTGCTTTAATAGAAGACGGAGAAATTGAGTATGCAGAATTTCGAAAAAGTGCACCAGGTCTTCAAAGAGATGGTGTGCTTGGTCCATGTAAACGCAAATGGTGCATTGGTATTTGTTTATGGAAATAATGAAGAAGATAAGATTGATGTGTAAATCTGACTTTGTTCAATAAATCAGTAGAAATTATACTTAACTCAAGTTATTCTTTTTTAGCATAAAAAAGAGGAAAGTACTGAGAAGTTCAATTGCAGAAAGTTGCTTGTCTCGTTTTTGTTAAAAAGAGAACTATTTTGTGAAATTATTTTAAGGAGGGCTTTAGTATCTTTTAATAGAATTTAATCTGAGGAATACAGGCACTTTATTATACAATACAGTCGAGGTTACATAAAAGAAGGTAGACCTCACTTATATAGGAAATGTTTAGTATGACATAAACTATATAGATTTAATGAATCGTATTTAATTTTACCAATTTTTTTCCAAAATTTTTTTTTTGACAAGACTAAAGGAACACTTCTTTAAATTTCATAAAGGTTGGATTAAAAGTTACTGTGAAAGGTGAAATTAAAAAAAATATTAATTTTTGTCAGTTTCCATGGCAAAAGTTGGCATTTTGAGAATTTTTCATAAGGATTGCAAATCTAAAATTAATAATCATTATGACAGTGGAGTTTCATCAAGATTTACCGAGCCATCTTCAAGAAATTGTGCGGAGAGAGTTAATGGTCGAACAATAGCAATATGTCTCCCCGACTTCGTTTTGGGTGACATTATCATAACTGAAGACAATGTTTTGGAATTCCTTCTATTTTAAAGTGTGCAAAATCAGAAATAAAAAAAAAAAGAAATCCACTCTCGGGGGTGTAAAAGATTTACACATCTAACTGCAAAATATTGAATTTTCTGTTTTCCACATTTTTCTCATGTATTTCATATTCTCTCTGTCGCCTCAGATAGACTCAACCTTATAAGCTGCCTGTTTATGATGCTCTGAAGAGCTGTGGCATCATATCAAAGCGGGGGAGGGTGGGGGGGGGGGAGGGTTAAAAATAACAAACATAAACCTTAACAATAATTTGGAGAAATTTGATTGTTTTATCATTAGTTAGTGTCAGGATGATTTATTCACTCTATGTATCTGATATGTTTTTTTTTTCTCTTCACGACTTTCAAGAAGCAGGTGAAAATAAAGTTATTCTGCGTACACTTTTAAACCACGAATAATTTTCAGTATTTCACTGATGTAAGTATTAGAAAGCAACATAAATCAAAATATAATAAATCTGACGTCATATATTTTGATTGTATTCGGTGTACATAATCTATATAAATATAGTAAAATTCATTTACACCTAAGTTTCATTTTTCGTGATGCGCTCGCCCTGATGGTTTCATCGTTGGGCATTCTATGTGTGTGGTGCCCAGACTGAGGATCAGTCAATTATCCATTCCCAGATAAAAATCTTCCCATAGCAACTTTTGCAACAGTTGTAATTGTGGCTTTGCACTTTCTTTTCTGCAACGGTAAAAAACATCGTCATTTTGTTTCAGTATGAATAGTTTCCATGACTTTAGAAATCTAACATCGACCTATGTAAACTGCGGACTTCATTCAATTTTTATCGCTCCGATCGTGTGGTCATACAAAGTAAGAATTAAATCTCTGTGAGAAAATACAGGAAAATACAGATAAATATCAGCAACGTCTAATGCCAAGCAATACCCGTGACCATTTAAACATTGAGGAAAGGAGGTATATAAACTAGTAAACTTTCCATCCTTTTGTTGATTTTCAGGCCTTGGGGTACCATGCATGTAAAATTAAGTCCCTTCCCTTACCTAAGAAAGCCATGGAATTTTTCAAAATATATATAAAAAAAAGGCTTTGAACAAAACCAATAACAACAAAACGAATGGTTTTTGAACACTTTGCACAACCATTACTCGAGATAAATTAAAGAAGGTGCTTGACATCACAGACCATTGTTTTTTCAATAAAAATGGGAGTCACAAATTTTATCATTATTTTTTTTTTTTACATCAACCTGCATTACAAATACATCGGTATATCAGTATAATCAATAATCATTTGCTTTATCATAACGATATAAGTTAATGCAATTTTTGTAGGCTTAATTACTAAAATAATTAATTTTGTATTAGACCTACGAACTGTTATTATCAGTGTTCCATCGGGATCGGGATTCGCTAGTAAAGTTGTTTACTTTTCGCCTGCAAGCCTCTTAAGTTTTTGCACCGCTAATTTATTAAAACACTATGTGATTGTCAGTAACAAATTGATAAATACCATTCCCGAGTACAATCCTAGAGCCATTTTGTTTTATGCAAAAATTATAAAAGGTATGAGTCGCCATCGCCGAGGCCGTCAGTGCCGATTACAGGTCTAAATTTGCAGCTCATCACCGGCAGTTGGTGGCGTCTCAATGTGAGTGAAAACTTCTCGAAGGGAAGTTACACAAACAAACAAACAAACAAAACTCATTATATGTTTTTTTTTAAACATTTCAATGTTTAATTTATCTTAATTATGTTAATTCACAGTTTTTCAATTGTTTAAAACTAACGAATTGTAAGATTGTTTTAAGTCATATATTCACCATATAAAATTTTTACATTGTACTTTAAACTAGAGCAGAGCTCGTTGCAAAGCAACGAGTAGGTCTTCCGTTGGAGCTGCGAACAGGAAGAAGTGACCTTGAGTCAAGGTTATACCACATTCTAAGGTTATAAGCAATCTTGTAAGGGGTATCAACTTGCAATGTCTCACCAGTAGAAAGACAGTTAAGGAATGTTGTTTCTCCGTTGATGACCTTGAACTCGTTCAAATGACCTTGCATCAAACCATGATACACTCTGGTTATAAGCAAACCCCATCTATGTGTTACCGACTCGACAAGTTAACACATGTTCTTTCAGACCATTCATCCAGTCAAAACATTCTTTCCTTAGTGACCCTAAATTTAATCAACATGGCCATAGGAACCGAGGAAGGGGGGGGGGCGTGCCCCCAATAATTTTGCCGATATATAGATTACTGTAGTAGACATAGATACTATAGCTTGTGCCACCTCAATAAAAACGTCTGATAACCTTTTTTTTTGCTTGTCAAGGAATTTTTGGTAGTTGGTGACCTTTTTTTTGCTTGTCAGGAAATTTATGGTAGTAGTGCCCCCTCAACTGTCAACTGAAAATGTATGGCTGTGCCCCCCCCCCCAAAAAAAAAAAAACTGAATTTGCTTCCTATGGGCCTGATCAAGGCAATGATACACTCTGTATGATATCAGCGATACCCTTTTGTGCTTTTGTGTGTTTCGGACTTGACAAGTTCACAGTTTGCATTTATTGCATGATAGTGAGGGAGACATGAAGATTTCTTCGCCCATAAAAAATCATATTCCCCGAGGGCAACATGAAGATTTCTTCGCCCATGAAAAATGAAAAAACGCCCGAGGGAAATATGATTTTTCATTTGCGAAGAAATCTTTATGTCTCCCTCACTATTATGCAATAAATTGTTTATAATACCGAATTAACCAAAATGCAGGAATTACAAAGGAGATCCAATGAATAAAGCAAACGTGCATTTGATGAGAACGATATGAAAGAGATGTAAGTTACAGGTACACCAATAGCCTCGTTTCATTAAAAAAAAATTCCTACGTGACAAGTTTGTGTGATCACACCAGTAACATTCAAACACCACCATTACATTTTTACACATTTAAATCGACACAATCAATCAACGATAATATGTTGACGGTGCGACCGTTGGGGCGAGTGCATTGTTCACTTAATTTTAAGATCCCCTTTTCAAACAGCACGAGACATTTAGAACGTCTAGACTGTGACGTCTCATGACGTATGTTAGCTGTATTTCCATAAACGAATTTTGAAAAGTGCAAACATTTTAACAAAGAACGTTTAATCTACTATCTGTATGCAATTCCATTAATTAAGGTGATTTTTTGGGGTGAATTTTTAGTTGTTGTTACCGCGCGAACGAAGTTAGCAGCGTCGCTGTAAACAATCCAACTCCTCACTCGTTTAATTGTGACGTCACAATCGTGAAACACGACGTTTTGTTGCAGGGCAAACATGATGGACACGTGACTTTCTCAGCCAATCAAATTCTATTTTACTAGGTCAAACTCCAAGGTCAAGGGATCATAATTGTTTTTACTTGAGGGAAGGTCTTAATTGTTATAAAGAATACACATGTGGTATAAAAAAAGTCTTAGCACCAACTGTTCAAAAGTTAAAACCAAGGTTAAAGTTTTTCAAAAGTAGGACATACTCAAAGGTCAAGGTAAAATGGTCAAAATTATAGGTATACAATGACAGGTCTTGTCACAAGAAAATTATCTATGTAATATAAAAGCCCTAGTACTAGTCATTCAAAAGTTATTGTCAAGGCTAAAGTTGTTTAAAAGTTGGTCAAACTCCAAGGTCAAGGTCAAATTGTCAAACATATTTATACCCAAGGAGGAAACTTATCACAAGGGATACAGATGTGAAGTATAAAAGCCATAGCACCAACTGTTCAAAAGTTTTGGCCAAGGTTATAGTTTGGTAAAATTTTGCAAAAGAGGATCAAACTCCAAGTTCAAGGTCAAGAGGTCAAATATGTTGGTACCTGAAGGAAGTCCTTGTTACTAGGAATACACATAAGAAATATGAAAGCAGTAGTTCCAACCAATCAAATTTTATGGGCATAGTTAAAGTTTTTGCCGACAAAGAGGCTAATACATTCTAACAGACAAATAGACAGGTGGACAGGACAAAAACTGTATGCCCCCCGAACCTTCGATTACAGTAGCATAAAAAAATGTCGGCGTCTTTGGGTTTTCGCATTGGCCTTAAATCTGAAAATCCAAAGGATTACAAGGTGCCTTACGATACGCTTTCACATCATGTTCTATAACCCAGAGCATATTGTCTGCAAAGATAAATATTTAATTCAGTATTTAATTAGCTATGCATAATTATCTATGTTGTTTTAAAAAGGAAATATAAAAAAAAATATTTCTTTTATATTTTTCGATGTAGAGATTTACAGAAAATGTTTTCCAATTTTAAGTCCTATCGCAATACACATTCTAAAAAAAAGTGTGTGTTGGAGGGGGAGGGGTGATTACATTTTTGCTGGGATTCG